GACCAATCACAAGCTGTTTTAAGTTAAGTTGTAGCCAATGGGAACATTCCCTCGTTATGACGTCAAAGTGACACCATGCCGGAGCGAAACGCCGGCAGGTTTGGTTGTTTGGTTGTTTGATGACGAGTAAACGATTTAAACTTTATTGTGACACGAAAGTAGTGTAAAACGTGAAAGGAAAATATTATGAAATCGTATTCACTGCTTTATTTATGTTGGATAGAAATTGTGAATATATTACAACAGCAATATTGGCCTCACTTTAAGTGTGAGACATTGTTAAGAGACATATACATGAAAATAGTACTATTGTAATATTAAAAAAAGTCATAAACTTAAATAGAATAGCCTAAAGAAGTTAATATGAGGAATAAAATAAGATCACAAAGAGAGAAAAACAATGAACAACAAAGCACCGAGTTAATATTAACCTTTACTTGAAATTGACCATACAGCAGAAACACTAAAATTAACAAAAGACAGACATATGTTACAACAATGGAGAAGAAAACTTACACGTTACAACAAAGTAGAGTAGAGTCGTGAGCAGGGCCGGATTGAAGAGTGGGCAAAGTGGGCAGTTGCTACTCGTTGAAATTCACGACTAGCTGGTTTTCCTATGAACCGTCTATTTTTAATGAATGCTGTTGTTTGTGTTGCTAATAATATGATATTTAGAATTGCGGAACTCCCAGATGTTTAGGTTAGCTTCACTCGCCACCCCACTCTCTTGGGGTAGTTATAATGAGGGGAGCCTCCACAGGTGTAATAAATCCGGCACTGGTGGTAAGTGCTGTTTGTCCTCTGCGGATGAATATAATATACTCGTCAGTTACATGGGGTATGGCTTACATAGACCAGTTTCTAGTTGACATAGCAATGGTTAGAGAGATATTTACTATCACAATTTGATAATGATTTATTGGGTCAGGTCTCAGCTCACACGTACTACAGTACTTTGGAGAGTAAATGTGGTACCTGATAATATAGCGTACATTTATGTCAAGGAATTATTATATAACATTTAGTAGCATGTGGATTAGTACACGTAACATGGCATAGTATAGAATGTTAGCACGATAGTTTTGTTTTACATTGTTATAATTAAGTTATAAATATATACTGTACGTAAAGTATTTGACGGTAATGGGAAAACATTATTCGGGTCGTGACTTTATTAAATTGACCGTTGATAGTTCTCACCAAGGAATGGAGATGTGAGTGACTGACTGAAGGGTATCTTGTTATTTGCATCTTGGAAGAAAACTTTATTGACTACGATACTGCCACCGTAGGCTGTGAGTTGCTATCATAATTTTTTGGTTCGTTAGCGTATTACAAATTGTGTGGTCCACTTATGTCTATGGTGCAAATACCCAAGAGCAGTTTATCTGGGATAATCCCCTCGTTTGGTTGTGACGGTGTTTACCGGAGAAGAAGTTCGGGGTCCCGGAAAGCACGAATCTGGCAGTTTTGAGCTGGGAAACTTTGGCTATATTTCATGAAATGGACTTTGTTGGAGTTTGTTTGAATAATGTTGAAGATGACACCAGGGTTTTTTTAATGTATCCTTGTACTTTGACGCCAAGGTGAAGAATAAAATGCTGAAAATTTGAAGTTATTCGAATGAGCGGGTTCGGTGAGCAGAGAGCAAATAATTTGACGTTTCGGCATCGAGTCGGCGGGAAGGTTGGGGTATTTAAAGGTCGAACCGGCAAGGATGCATCAGTTACAATCCGATCCTTGTGTCTGGTGTTAGAACTTCTTTAGTTTGTGAAGAAGAAAAGAAAAGAAAAGAAAAGTGTAGTATATAAAGTCGTGTTTAGACATTTGTTCGTTTGGCTGTTAGTGTTCCGCATTGGAAATGTTTTGTTAAAAATTTGTCTGTGGTTTTTAATACAAGTCATAGATGTATTTGACTTGTGGTCTGTGAAACATATTTAAAATTTCTGTCTGTGGTTAACTAGGGAGTTTTTGAAGTTGTTCATAATTCAACTTCTTGTAGAACCAAATATTTAAATTGAACACGGTAGTTTAATTGAAATGAAATGAAATCTTTTAAGTGTTAAACGTGCTAAGTGTTTTAAAAAGTTGAAGTGTTAATAGTGTACTTTTTGAAATTGGCGGAATATGTTTTTTTTTTTGCAAGAAATTGTGTTATTTCGTTGACTGATGGAAAGTGAATTTATGAGCATGAAGATTGTCTAGCGAGTTCGTTATTGAAATATTATCTCGATCTGAAGTTGTTTGGATGCGAACTTCAATGCAGTTTTAAGTGATGGTGGTGGAATCTTGAAAATGAGTGAGAAGAAAATAAAGCTGCAGCATTTATGTGTGATTTGAGCTTGGACTGTTCATAGTGATAAGTGATCGTGGTGGATATTGAAAATAAGTGAGAAGAAAAATAAAAGATGCAGCATATATGTGTACTGTACATTGAGCTTGGATAGTTCATAGTGATCGTGGTGGAATCGTGAAAATGAGTGAGAAGGAAAAAAGATGCAGCATTTGTGTGCCAAGTAGTAAACCATACGTGTGTGTTTTGATGCGTATCGTAGGAGATTGGAGGTGTTGTGCATATAGTGATCCCATGAAGTGGAAAATAAAATAAATCTCCCGTCAGCGACGTTTTGGTAAACGAGGGGTGAGGGCAGGTAAGTGACTATTGATGTTGAGTTTCTTTAGCGAGGTAAAGATTGGGATTTGACATGAATAACAATATTGATATGGGTGAGCCAATTGGTAGCCTGCTTTGAGTGTATGAAAAATAAGCGGCATAAAGTCGAACGTTTTGAATGTAGTCTGCTAAAGATGCATCGACCCGACCCTGGGTCTCGTGCTCGCAATTTTACTTGTGAGTACTTAGGCTGTATGTAAAGGTGATTGTGATTGGTGGATCTGTTTTGGGTTGTATGAGTTTTAGGAAAATGATTAAAGAAAGGAAAGGTAGATTTTTTTTATTTGTAATAAAATAATCATTGCTATTTAAAGTCATGGGAAGTTAAGATATGTTCGTATATTTGGATAAATAGTGAAGAAATTTGTATTAATGAGCGTTTTGTAGTTGTTGGCATAAAATGTAGTGGGTGTTTTAAGATTTTGTAGTAGTTTATTTTCAGATAATAGCAGCCGCAGTGGGCTGCCGCATGAGCGTTAAGTTGGAGCCAACTAGCGTGGGAAAGGTTGATTTTTGCAGAGACGTGTCCGGCACAGAGGTAGACCCAGAATTTAGAGTTTAGGTGAATGAAATTGTTGCATGGGTGTTGTGTTTGTGCTGTTATATACTGGAGGCTATATAATGGTACTACACTCTCGGTTGTGTGTGCTTATGGTCGTATGGTTCATTTGTTAGTTTTATACGCAGACTAGTGTTATTAATTGTTGTGTATGTGGTTTTGTTTCATTAATTTTGACTTGTTTGTTGTAAATTTTGAAGCTTGATGCCTTTTATTGCAGGTGTACGGAAGGCTTATACTGTGGAATAGAGAAGAGAATGTGGCCTAAGTTTTTAGGTGGTGGCGAGCGCGTCTACACTTGCGGTGAGGAATTCGTCAATACGGTATTTAAAATGGAAGTTGTAGTTGTTTTTGACTAAAGAGAAGTGGTAGCTGTAATATGAAAATTGATAAGTGGTTCATGGCTAATATATTTGTATTGAGGATTAGTGTGTTTTATAGGTTAGGTAATAAATCCATTTTTTCAGGTTGTTGTTGGAGGTGGAAGGAGCCGGTATTTTTTTGAGGTAGACTAGGGGGAATAGTGATGGGTAAGTGATGTTGAAGTTTGTAAAATAGTTGTTAAATTTTAAATCGATTCTTGGTCTTGTCCCGTAGAGCAATAGAAATGTTAAAAGTTGACATTAAAATAAATGATTGTGGCTTGAGTTTGGTAATGTTAAGTTTAAAATGTGCAATTTTGTGCCTTGGCTGTAGATTAAAGAAAAGGTAAATGAGTTTTGATAAATTGAGTTTATTATATAGTAGTGAGAAAGATTTGATAAATGGGTAACGAGTGATTTTTTTCAGGTTGGCATCTGGTGGTGGTCCTCGGTTCTCTAGTGCACTCAAAAGTGCCTAGAGACGGGCAAGGGGAGACTTAAGTGAGGTGTATAAACCTGTGAAAGGGCACTACTTAGTCGAGGAACCGTACCCGTAGCTGACTGACGCCCGCCTCACAAGGGGTCACAGCCGAAGTGGGGGTGCCGGCGGTAGAGCGGTACTGCTCTCGCCTCGCAAGCGAGACGTCTCGGGTTCGATTCCCGGGCCGGTGGAAAGTGGGTTGGACACATTTCCTAGACCCCCTCTGTCCCTGTTGACCTAGCAGTAAAGTAGGTACCCGTTGTAAATCGAAAGTTGCGAATTCGTATCTGGGGAAAGTCGTCGGAGCTAGCCGACAAAATGTTAAAGACTGGAGGGTTGTACGCCCTTGACAAAAAATGCTATGATCCTTTAGGCAAGCACAAATTTGGCATGCTGCCTAGTTGGGCGGTGTAGGCGCTTGTGCCCTTCACCTTGCATGGGAATAAGGGGGGGTGAGGGGGGATGCCCCTCTGCCTCCCCCTTCTCAAAAAGTGTGGTAATGAGAAATCGAAAAAATGGTAGAGTAGAATATAGTCTTGTGTTGACTGTATCGACTAACCAAGAGGAAGTATGGTCGCCATCCAGAGGTGGGGGAGAAGCCTATGTTGGAAAGGAGCCAAGTGTTGTAACTAGTCGCCCTGTGCAGCATGTGCTAAAAGGTAATGTATACTGTTAAGTGGTTGAAGGTGGGGTCTGTTTGATATGAAAATGAAGAGGGACTTTGGTCGTGGTTATTGATGTGGTAATTGTTTTCTACAGGAGTTGTTGCAGTCCAGAAGACGTGATTGGTGTGTGATAATCCAGAGGGACATTAACGCTCGAGTGAATGTTGGAAATGAGAGGCAGTAAAGGTGTAAGTATTGAAGTTGTACCTATACTTTGTTATAATTTGAAGAGTAGAGTATTTGTAACATTGACGTATTGTTTTTTGTTTTCATGTTGGTGGTGGAGGAATATGGGCGAATTGTTGAGAGGAGCGCGTCGACACTGGATACGGCGATGTCAAGTTGTGCAATGTATTATTTGAAGGTGAGTTGTTATTGTATTTGAAAGTTGTAGGCAAGTGATATGAGTTTTTTCGGCTAGCAGTACCCATTGATGTTTAAAGTTGGGAGAAATAAGCATGGTGCATTATGGAGGTTGTGTGAAAGGTTTGTTGTTGTTTGAGGATGGAGTGGTGGTGGGTAGTGTCGTAACCAGGTTGCAGAAAGGGTGGACTACTACATTTATGGGGCTGTGCAATGGACTGTTGAGGAGGAGCCGCAGCAGCAGCGGCGTTTTAAGATAAGTGGTGTGGTGCATCGTGAATTGTTTGTGATAGTTTAGGGACATAGTGAATTTAGTTGTAAGAAATTGAGTATAATGTAATTGTTGGAAGACGTGTATAGTGATGTAAATTGTAGGTTAGTTTTGGATTAGTATATGTGGCGAATGGATGTAGCAGGTAATAGAAATGTTGCGACTAGTGTAGAGGCATATTTATATTTGGTGAGTGTGGCGTTGGAGCGGTTTAGGGCGTGAACTAATGTGTTGATCTGTTTGTTTTTTAGGCCGGATTGGAGTTTTTGTAATGGTAGGCGGTAGTGATGGTGGAAGAGGCAGTGGTTACTCGGCGACGGAGATGGGAGTGAAAGGGTAAGGAGCCGATTGTTTGTGTTAAAGAGGAAGCGTTTGTTTGAATTTGGGTAAGATGAAAGGTGAATTTGTTGTGGGTATGTATTGTAATTGTATAGAAGTTATTTGGTAGCAGGCTAGTATTGTTGTTACACACTGGAGGCTGTGTAATGATTGGTACTAGCCTTGGTGAATAGTTTGTAGTAGAGTATGTGTATATTGTTAAGAAGTTGGTATTTGTAGTGTATGGTGTCGTTTAAAAGGAAGAAGTTTGGTTTTCGTAGACATGGGCTTTGCCGAGGTAATGCTTAAGAGAGTGAGTTTTTGTTGTAGGCAAGCCACTAAGAATAAGAGGGACGTGTTGATCCCGAAGGAGATTGGATGCATGAACCTTTTTGGAATGGTGTTTATTATGGAATTTTTTTTTTTTTTTCAGTGGTGCATCGGAAAGAGTGGTGGATGGAGGCTATGTAGGAAACGACCAAGTATTGGGCATTTACTGTGGAGGTGACGATGTGTTGGAGGACCGCCTTGTACGTATAATGTATTTGATGGGAAAGGCCATTATGAGTTGACGTCCATTGTTAGTGGGAGACTGGTAGTTGTTGGGTAAGAAATTGGAATTTGCTAAATATTTTCTCCGTTTCAGATTGTAGCGATGGGGTGAAGTCGCTCTGGCCAAGTTGCCGTCGAGGATTACGCGTGTCTGTGACTGGGGTGTATGGAGACGAGATGTTGTCCTTTGAACGTATAGCCGTCGTCCCTGTGATTGGAGCCGAGATGATGTCCTGTGAACGTCTAGCTGTCGTTTCTGTGACTGGAGCCGAGAAGATGATGTTCTGTGAATGTATAGCTGTTGTCTTGGTGTATGGAGCCAAGATGATGTCCTGTGAATGTATAGCTGTCGTACCTGTGACGGGTTGAGAAGATGATGTACTTTGAACATGTAGCCGTCGTCCCTGTGACTGGAGCCGAGATGTCCTTTGAATGTATAGTTGTCGTCTCAGTGACTTGGGTGTATGGAACTGAGAAGATGTCCTTTGAACGTATAGCCGTTGTACCTGTGACTGGGGTCGAGAAGATGACGATGTCTTTCGAACGTGTAGCTGTCGTCTCGGTGACCGGGGTGTATGGAGCCGAGAAGATGACGTCCTGTGAACGTATAGCAGTTGTCCCAGTGACTGGGGTGTATCGAGCCGAGATGTCCTGTGAACTTCTAGCCGTCGTTTCTGTGACTGGAGCCGAGATGTCCTTTGAACGTATAGCTGTGGTCCCAGTGACGGGTGTATGGAGCCGAGAAGATGTTCTGTGAAGGTATAGCCGTCGTACCAGTGACCGGGGTGTATGGAGCCGAGAAGATGATGTCCTGTGAAGGTATAGCCGTAGTCCCTGTGACTGGAGCCGAGAAGATGTCCTGTGAACTTGTAGCCGTGTTCCAGTGACGGGTGTATGGAGTCGAGGAGATGATGTCCTGTGAATGCATAGGTGTTGTCCCTATGAAGATGATGTTTGATGTACTGTACTGTATTATATTGCTAAGTGTATAGAATATATGTATTTGAGTTGAATTTTGTGTTTTCTTTATTGCCTGATGTGCATTTTGAGTGACACATAAGGTATAAGATGATGACAAGTGACTTAGGCACCAGATGAAGTGGAGCGACATGAGAAGATGAAGGTAATGTGTGAAGAATTGAGATTAGTTAATGTAATATGATTATATGTAAAGTAAAGTAAAGATGTTGAAATGCATCATTGAGATTAGTTGATGTAATATGATTATATGTAAAGTAAAGTAAAGATGTTGAGATTAGTTAATGTGTTGAATAATTTGATTTGTATTGTGTGAATTTTAATGCTGTTTTTGTTTCTCCCCTTTCTTACAGGTACACGGGAACACATGTGGTGTTGTTTAGAGTGTTTATTGAGCAACAAAGGTGATTTTTGAACTCGAAGAGAGTAGTTATTCCTCATTGGTTGTGAGTTGGTGTTTTGATGTTTGTTTGCAAACAAAAGCTCGGACGTTGTTGATCTATCGCACGACAATAGTCCATAGACACGATATCTGTGTCGAGAGCTTTACGACTAAACCTATTGTTGGTACTGACAATATGGTTAAAGTCTGTTTGCAAACAAAACATTAAAATACTAACTTAAAACTAATTTGGAATAACTACTTTCTTTGAGTTTAAAAATCACCTTTGTTGTTCAATAAACACTCTAAAATAACTTATATAATAAAGAAGGGGTTGCCAGAACCTATCTTAACAAGATAGCGACTTTGAAAAAAAATCCCGTTTTCTGTTCACTTGGAGAAAATGGGAAACCATCAAAGAAAATGGGAAACTTTCATCGGCTCCAGTTTCCCACGTGATCCCGTTTTCTACGACACCACCTTCCTTCAACTTTACCTATTCCAAATATGGCTGTACTTTAACTTGTGAAAAATAAAGACATTGATTATATGCTTCCTTTTATTATGCTCAAAATATTTCTATATCCACATACATGAAAAATATACAGTCCACAAAGAACAAAAAATTTTCTAAGTCCACACACCAAAAAAACATTTCTAAGTCCACAACACGGGGAAAGAAACTAAGTCCACACACCATGAAAATTTTTTAAGTCCATAAAGGAAGAAAAATTTTTAAGTCCACAACACATGAAAAAAAATAGTCCACACAACAAAAAATACTAAGTCCACACAACATGACAATTTTTCTAAGTCCAAAAAGGATGAAAAAGTTTCTAAGTCCACATGACATGAAAAAACCAAGTCCACACAACATGAAAATTTTCTAAGTCCACATCAGATGAAAAAAACAATTAAGTCCACACAAGAAAAAACAAATTCACAACACAGCAAAAAAAGTCCACAAAACATGAAAAACTTTCTAAGTCCGTAAAGGATGAACAAATTTTAGAAGTCCACAAACATAAATTAATCCAATTCCACAAGAGGAAAAAAAAAACCAAGTCCACAAACAGACAATATTTCAAAGTCCACAAAGGATGAAAAATATACCAAGTCCACATACATTGAAAATTATTACAAGTCCACAGGATAAAATAATACTAACTCCACAACATGAAAATTTTTCTAAATCCACAAACAATGACAATATTTCCAAGTACACAAAGGATGACAAAATTTCTAAGGTCCACAAAGGATAAAATAATACAAAGTCCACAAACATGAAAAATATAATAAGTCCACAAAGGATAAAAATTATTCAGTCCACATACATTAAAAGTTATTCTAAGTCCACACATATTGAAAATTATTACAAGTCCACACAAGATAAAATAATACTAAGTCCACAACATATGAACATTTTTCTAACACCAAAAACAATGACAATATTTCCAAGTCCACAACGGATGAAAAATTAAAAATCCACAAACAATAACATATATTCTAAGTCCACACATGAAAAATTACTAATTCCACATACATTGAAACATAATCTAGGTCCACAAAGAATAAAATAATACCAAGTCCACATACATTGAAAATAAATCAAACTCCACACAGGATAAAATAATACTAACTCCACAAACAATGAAAAAATACTAAGTCCACAACAGATCCACATTTATCTAAGTCCACAAACAATGAAAAATTTTCAAAGTCCACACGCGATACAAAATTATTCCGAGTCCACGGACGTAATAAATTAATACCGAGCCACAGACAATAAAACATTTTCTATATCCACAAAGGATACAAAATATTCAAAGTCCACAAACGATAAAATAATAACAAGTCCACAAACATGAAAAACATACCAAGTACACATACATTCAAAATACACAAAGGCTAAAATAATACTAAGTCCACAAACATCATAAATTATTCAAAGTCCACATACATTGAAAATTATTACAAGTCCACAGAGGATACAAATTATTACAAGTCCACACAACATGACAAAAATACTCAGTCTACATTGAAAATTATTCAAAGGCCACAAACAATAAAATAATACTAAGTCCACATACATTATAAATTATTCAGAGTCCACACAGGATAAATTAATACTAAGTCCACAAAGGATAAAACATATTCAAAGTCCACAATCATTATACATTATTTAAAGTCCACATACATTGAACATTATTCAAAGTACACAAACAATACATTATTCAAAGTCCACAAACGATACAAAATAGTCAAAGTCCACACAACATAACAAATTATTCAAATATCCACAAACATCATTAATTATTCAAAATCCACATAAATTAAACATTATTCCAATTACACAAACAATAAATTATTCAAAGTCCACAAAAGATACAAAATATTCAAAGTCCACAAACATCATTAATTATTCCAAGTCCACAAAAATTGACAATTATTCAAAATACACAAACAATGAGACATTTTCAAAGGATAACAAATGTTCAAATTCCACACAAGATACAAAATTATTCAAAGTCCACAAACATTATACATTATTCAAAGTCCACACACGTCGTCAATTATTCAAAATCCTCACGGGATAAAAAATTAGTCCAATTCCACCGGCATAATACGTTATTCCGAGTTCGCGTGCGACGATAATTATTACCGGTCCTCGGACCCGACGCGTAAATTTCCCGGTCCGCGCGCACGCCAAAAATATACCCAATCCACAAAAGGCAAAACAAATTCAAAGTCGACAAACAATATCAATTATTCAAAGTCCACAAAGGTTAACAATTTCAAGTCCACAAACAACTACAGGTTGTACCTCTCTAGTCCGCCAAACTCCCGTGGTCCAGAACAATTTTAGTTTCTCCAACAGGTAGATAGGCAGGTTCTTTTTTTTTTTTTTGCAGGGTGAATTATCATTATTATGACAGGAGTATTAAATTTTTGCCCCTCACGCCCCAACGTGGGTCAGTGACTTATGCCCGGGTGGGCTAATCCCCTTAAAAAAACACAGGAAATTAAGGTATTTACATCCAGCACTTCAGCTGCTCTCTCTCTCTCTCTCTTTCTTTGTCTATAGAGTAAAACATTTAACCCTTCAATATATATATCAGCAGTAAATAAGTGTTCCTTTCATATTCTTATGTAAAGTAATGACAATATCTTTTCACGTGTGCACACTTACGTATGCGCAGTCTCACTTTTTATTTTTACCATTAATGGTTAACTACATATATTGTTCCATTTATTAACATTAAATAACATTACAAGTACTTCAAACGACCGTAGTAATTTTTTTACATTAATTTTACTGCAGCTAAATTCAGGGTCTTATTTTCTTCAGTTTTATATGTACAACCAATCAGTCACTGGTTTTGTGAGCTTTAACGTAAACGATGCCGGCAGCCGTCTCGTCTCCTCTGATATTCCACGTATTATTAATAAATTGTATTATTAATTTTGCACACACAAACATTAATTCAATAAAAACAAATTCACAAACATCAATTAAAATATATATGAACAGTAAATAAGTGTTGCTTTCGTATTCTTACGTAAAGTAATGACGATATCTTTTCGCGTGTTCGCATGCCCACTTACACGCGCAATCTCTTTTTTCTTTACCGTTAGCTACTTCTATTGTTCCATTTATTAACATTAAATAACATTACTTAAAACAACCATAGTAATTTTACTACACCTACACCCAAGGTCTTATTTTCTTCTGTTTTATATGTACAACCAGTCAATCACTGGTTTTGTAATCGACAAAAACAATGCCGTGTCATTTCCTCGTGTGTTTTAATATTCTACGTATTATTAATGAATTGTAATGCTCATTTTGCCCACATAAACAGTAATTCAATAAAAAAGACATTCAGTAATAAACAATAATGAATCTTTTCTACGCGAGAGAAATGACGCTCTTTACGCGATTGTGCACGTCGTCTGCACGTTGGCGGGCCGTTCGGACCCGTCCAAATTCCAGTTTCCGCCGTCAAAATTTTTATTTATTTATTTTTTGGCGTGTTCCAATAAAATACGTTAAGAATTAAACACTCTCGAAATTTGACGAGCTACTATACGACATTTAACCCTTCAATATGTCTTCAAAGAGACCGTGATGCAGAGAAACTGGTGCTAGTGCTTCCAAGCATAAGCACAAGTCACTATCTATCCAGGAAAAGGGTGAATTTCCATGATACGGCACCGTTCCGGTCCCGAGGTTGCCCGACTAGAGAGGTACGACCTGTACGACATTTCGGTCCACGAACATGAAAAATATACAAAATCCACAAAATATCTCACTTATTCAAATTCCACATACATGCAACACATTTTCCAAATCCACAAACCAAAATAGATTCAAACTGCACAAATGACTATACTATAATCAAACAACAACAACAACAACTCAAAACATTTTTCACACTACAAATAACTTCAATCAATTACAAACAAACATATACAAGTCTACACGTAACTCGACTGCAATAAAACGGACGCGACGAATTGCACGTCAAAACTGTATTGCAAGTCAGCGCTTAACTTCCGTCGATTCCAAGACGACCGATCCGCAGACGATTGACTTTCGTCGACGACGCCACATTTTTTACGACTCCACGGACGGATCTACGACGACAAAAAATAACTCCGCGACACCCGCAATTTATTGCGGCCGTTCCGGTCGATTCCGACGACGCGAAAGTCCCGACAAAATATTCCCGGTGCGCAATTGACACCCTTCAAATTAAAACCAATAACTATTCCACAATAAACAATTTCATGCTCATCAATTTCACAAGTCCACAACATTAACTTACAAAATTCAACTATTTCCCGATATATAACTGCCCAAACCCGACGCGACCGCATATTCAAACTACAGACGGTACGTGCATTCTCGTCCTCGATGACAATTACTTTCCAAATCTAAATAGAACTCCTCCTCTTCTTAACAACAAAATTTAGTCAAATATCAACACAATATATCTAATTCACACTCACAACATATTTATAACAACACAAATAAATACAATCCAACATACACACAGCAGCAGTAATACAACCACAAATTCAATTGGTAACAACAAACGTATACAGGGACACAAAAACAACCAACAAAGGAAAAGAAAGCAACAAAAAACAAACAGGATCAAGAGGAATGGGAGGGTGAGAAACAAAAAGGGAATCACAATCAAACAGAGGAGGAGGAGGAGGAGGAGGAACAGAGGAACAACAAGCAAAAGAATAAACATGGAAACGAGGAAGACATAAGGCGAAGAGGAGGAGGAGGGGGGGGGGAACAAAGAGGAGGAGTAAAAGAAGGAAACAGGAAGAAGAGGAGGGACAGAAGCAGGTACAGGGGAGAAAGACGAAGGGAGTCACAATGAAACGGAGGGAGAAGAAACCACTCGACGAACAAAGAAACGAGGAACACATCAAAAGAGGAGGAGCAGGAGGAAGAGGAGGAGGAGGACAGGGAGGCAGAGGGAAAAGACAAAAAAAGGGAGGGCTTACACATTCAACATTGTGCTCGTATTCCTTCCCCTTCCACTTATCCTACTCGTCCTCCAAATTTTATTATTATACAGACGCCTTCACAATAAACGCCTTAACACGAGTGGAGCAACACGGAGTACAGGTGAACGAGTAAAAATTCTTGCCAAATAAATGAAACTACTATTAACCAAAAATATATTACTGCTGCATCGCATATTTCCTTACCGGTAGATGTCGCGGTCTCAAAATAGGTACCCGCGCGCATTCCACAGCTGCCCGCTCTCAAACCGACTGCCACAATTACGTAAAACCAATACACCTGTCAAACCTTCCCGCCATTTCAAACACATGACTCTCACCTAACTCTACTTCCAAACCATTCTTTACACATCTCGCGGGTATACTTCCCTGCGGTACCTCCGACACTTTCGTTTCTCCACCGCCTCGTCTCGATGCACATTCCCGTCTATTCTCCGTCGTCCGTATCCGCAGACGCCCGCACCCTCCGCTTTACGTACGACCCTATCCTAAACCGGCATTCCCTAAATTCGTCGTCTCCCGTCCCGCATCGAAATGTTATTCGTTAAATCCTCTCCCGTAACCGATCGTCGCTTCCGCCAATTTCCCCGCAATTCCTCTACCACGCGACTTCTTCTTCTTCTCTTCAAAATCCCCCTCGCATCTCTTTTTCACAATTACGCCGACTCGGTAGTCGCACGTCAATTCCTTTAATGCCCTACAGAGTGTGTCGTTCCTTGTACCCCACCGCCGTCCTTATCCCCTTTTACTTTATATCTTTACTAATATATAACTACTCTCTCTGTCCTAAAAAAACCCCACCAAATAGTCATCATTTCTCCATTCTTATCAGTTACCTCAACAACACCGTCTATGTCGGTCCAATCTCCCCCGTTCTTTTACTTTCGAGAGGCGCGCGTCCCCGCCGCCGAGTCGTCTCGTATTTACGCTGCCGTTATTTACGGAGTTTGTCCCTCCACGCGTGACTTTTTACAATCTATTTGCAACATGTCTACGATGATCATCTTCAATAAATTCATTCTCGACACGTATCGACTTCCTCCGTCTTCGCGGAGTCGGTCTCTAAAAACGATACTACAAACATTATAACAATCGTTACAAACAACACATGCATTCATTTTACACATTACATCGTCTTTAAAACCGTCGCTATACAATAGTGATGCGCATCCTCTTCTGAGTTGACGAGTATCTTCCCGCAATCGCGAGTGTGGTATTCTTCCCGTGTTCCGGAGCATCTTCCTCGCGCGTCGACCGGCGTCTTCGTCCGCGATCGACGAGCGTCTTCGTCCTCAGTTCCCGAATGTCTTCATCCAAACCGCTCCGACGTGCCGACCGTACGATCCGTCTCGGACTCGTGTCGGCGCTCTCGTCCGCAACTGAAACGGACAAATTACTGTCAAAATATATAAACAATTATCTACTATTACAAATTAGACTAATTCCCAAACAAACTTCATCCAAGTTCATTCTTTCTACAGTATACCTATACACACTCACCCCACACAAACATATCTATACACTACTGCCGACTAAAACACACGAGCACACCCGCTGCAGTGCTCGACTACCCCGCAATTACATCCCGCACAAATTACTTCTCCGGAAATAACCGCGACCCCGTCGCCTAACGCGAAATCAAACCGGATGCTCCTCCAATACTTGACAATTATCAAAAGACATACAATATACTTATACATAACATATGATTAATTGTATGTATTCGTACCATTCGCAAGAACTCGAGGAATCTATCAGACAATTGGGAAAGTCCACTCGATCCACGCCGGTGTACTTTCCGACGGAATGTACGTCGTGCTCTCGAGGTCGTACCGTTGACGTCTAGCGAACGTAACTTCCACAGACGTCGCGTGAAAACATGCGACGACGGAGATCCGGTACGAGCATAAATGTATCGGAACTACGAGAGGTGTTGGCGGCGAACCAAAAACTACACTCGAAAGGAAATATCTCGATTGCATCCGCGCGAACTCGATACGCCTCGTCTCCTCGGGAGACGCGTACCCGCGACGTGTACGGCGATCGGACGATCTCGCGTCCGTGTTCGAATAGCGCAATGTGTCGGAGGAGGATCAATAATTACACTTTTCAGGGAAGTGGATATACCCGCGCCACGAACGTTCGCCGTCCGTTTTAAGGGACCGTCGCGTGTACCCGCCTCCGGCGTGCCGCGTTCCCGTTGTGACCCGCGACGTCCGTACGATAACGCCTACTTGCAATACGGTATAAAAAATAGGACATAAATACATATACCTCCTCCTCCATTACAAGCTACTACATTCTTAACCCTTACGCCCGAGGTGAAACTTCCACGACGTACATCTGGTCTCCCCTTTTTTGAAGGGGAAGAATTCATCTTGTTTCTCAATTTATCCCAATAGAAAGGGAGGGGGAAGTGCCAGCAGCACCCTAACCCATGGCTTATGGGTTAAACTCCCATTTTTTAATCATACTTTTCATATTGTATCCAACACTTTTAGACCAGATATGAGACCTTCAATTCTATATCTCTATGCTAAGTTAAGTACTCTCGTTATGACGCTTGTAATGTCCGTCTACGCATTTTCGACGGCACCCGAGTCTCGTCGTCGGTGGCATTTTCGTTTCTCCCTCGTCGTCTTTACGTTCTACTCTTTTACTCGTAAATTCCCGTCCTATTTCCTCTCGGTGATCGGTCAAAACTTCCTTCGATATTTCGTCCGCGACCGCGACGCGACCCCGTAGTTAATGATTCGCGGTCGGGTCGACGACGCGCCACTTAATAAATTCTCGTCTCCCTTTAAAACCGTCAACTTACCCTACGCAATTCCTACGGATGAGCCGAGGCACGCCGCATGCGCATTCCTATTCTTCAAACAACCGTTAAGTAAATGCCGTACACTGCGATATAAACATTACAATACGGCGTCGTCCGAGATTCTTACCCGCGACTCCCGCGTTTCGAGCGGCGTCCTCGGCCGGATTCCGTCGAGTCGCCGGTCCGCACAGAAATGACGTTTCCGACTCCCGTCGGGCGACTCCGACCCGTGACTGCAAATGAAAAATTAAAGTTAAAAAATATACAAAGTCAATTAGGCATGTAAATTACACATTAACCCTTGACAACTAACCAAAATATCAGAGGACATTCTCTAAAGACCTTGATACATTTGCCAAACATACACTTTCCATTCAAAAATCTTACATACTTAGGCAGCTACCAAACGGGGAGATGCCGCCTCCTCGGAAAATATTGGAAGCGTGACGCGTCGTCCGCGGTAGATCTCGCTGCTACGTGGCATCCCTAAAATTGTGACCGAGTCCCGGGTCGCTCGTCTGACTTTCTGCCTCCTTAACGCGCGATTGCGGGGTCTCAATTGTTTCTCTTACTACTGACAACACAACATAAATATATTCCTCCTCACTTTTCATTTTTTTTCCCATTTTCTATTTCTTTAAGGTTCTTTAGTATTATTGTTACATATAAACTAGGTTACCCCATATGTATGTCAATATGTTTCATTTTACTTCTGGAATAAAGCGCCACTTTCAATGCGCACGTTATGTTTTGGTTTTGTTTTTACGGACGGTCCCGAAAATATACCGGAGAGAGCGACGTCGTTTGTGTCGTCGTCCGAGCCTCTCGCGTCGTATTTCGTCGATATCCACCAAAAATGAACGCCGTAACTTCAATAATTATTATTATTACATTTTCGCCCCGATGTGGGTCGGTGACCCGTGCCCGGGTGGGCTAATTCCCATAAAAAAAAATACGTATTATTTATTTATTTGGCACTTTCCGTACGTACGAGTGTCGACGGAATTAATCTGCCATTATTTACGCGATCTCGTTTCTTGCGCACTTTCCGCGGGTCGCCGATTCGAAGCGTGCCCTCGTTCTACTCCGGGGGTCGAGTGGCCTCGGGGAGTCTCGTGGGCCCTTACGGATGCACGTCGAATACCCGACGACGACCGCTCCGGAATTTCGACGAGACGTTTCGTCGAACGCCGTTCCAGACCGTACCCTCGAACGCGACTGCGAGTGGCCTCGGACCAAACCCCGCGCCTCCTAAAACGCGGTCGAGCGAGGCTTCGGTCTGCGTGCTCGCCGAACGCCGCAATACGACACTAATTAAAACGCTGTGCACTGTATGGCAAGTCTACCCTACATTGAATCCCCAAATCTGCCCTACCAAACATTCACTTGCCTAAAACGGTTAGCACAAACACATCCACCCGGGCAAAAGAGGCGACTTCAATCGACTACTCTCGTTACCGACGACGAAATGTGCGGCGGAGGAGCCGCGCGCTCGGTCCGTGGGCGTCGAACCCGAGCGTTCCTTTCGTCGCGGGCCGCGGTTCCGCCGGAAGATGCCGTTCCTTAATTTCTGCAACGTGAACGCCCGTCCTCCCAATTTCTCGCACGGCGACCGCCGGACACGACCGCCCTCAGATGCCCTCCGGGTCCCACGCCACCCAAAAAAACCCACCCGACAGTGGCGTACGAGTATTCTACGCGCGTCGCCGCGTTCGTTCTCCCGCCAATTCTCGACCCTGCGCATTTCGATGCGTTTTCCATTGAAGGACTAGGGCGTGGTTACCAAATTATTTGTTCCTCTAATTGACAAATAGACAACTAATAAACCCTTCTTCACACTCACACTTTCTAATTATAGTCTTATTTTATAGCAAACTCCAATAAACTTATCTAATATTTAGCCCATTAATATCAACACTAATAACTGGTCACTTCGACTAACTGTGTGTAGTGTAATTGTAATCACACAAAATGTTACATTATTAATAAGGTGACCATCATATACTATAAAACTTATTAAATAAACCAATAAAACACAAGTGGAAGGAACGAGAGGTGATAGGGAAGGGATAGAGGGGTGGTAGGTGGCAGAAGGATAATAGATAAGGAAAGGAAGAGTGGTACGTGAAGAAAGGGAGGGGGGACAAATGGTGGGATAGAGGGGTGGAAGGGAAAGGAAGAGTGGTAAGTGGAGGGAGGGATACATTTAGCTGGAGGAAGGGAGAGGAGGTAGGTGGAGGGAGGAAGCGATGGTAGGTAGAGGGAACAAGGGGTGGTAGGTGGAGGGAGGAAGGGGTGGTAGGTGGATGGAAGAATGAGTGGTATGTGGAGGGAAGGGGAGGTGGTAGATGAATGGAAGAGGGGTCATATGTAGAGGGAGGGGTGGTACAGTCGTCGGACTATCCGTTAATCTTTAACGTCGAGTGCCGGAGCGCGTCGCCGCCGTCGTTTTGGGGGTCGACCGTCGGGCAAGTTTTAGCATTCATACTTAATGAAATACCGTACATTACAAATACACGTATAATATGACCTTAAGCTAAAATAACTATTGACTGAGCTTTAGTTATAGCATCCATAAACGTAGAAAAACACGTACGATATTCTCGACGATCGTCTTACGTCGGAGAGCGGCACTCGCCGACCCGTCTCCGGAGCGGCGATCCACGGTCGTTCTTCGTGTCCGTCTCCCGGATCGCGCTTCCGCTGCCGTTGCCCGAGGCGACTTCTTCTGTGGGTTAAGTTTGTTATGTGAATGCTGCCTGCATTTAATAATTATACTGCACTACATCTATACAACCATTGCATAGGGTATTAAAAATCAATCGTAATGCCCTCATAAAATATCGTGTTGATAATTTTTAATTTCTATCGTGTACCGGCGAGCAGAGCGTCGAGTAGCCGGAGGCGTGTCCCGGGCCGACGGCGAGACGACACCCTACGTGATGGAACTACTCTGCGATCGTATCTAGTCTATTGCTAGAAAATGCAATACGCTGCACGCGAGACCGAGTAAACGGATACTTCTCGCAGACGACGACGGACCGTACGACTGCGCCACAGAGGCCGAATCTCGAGCGGTCGGCGACGGACCGCCGTCGACGGACGCGCGCGATAAAAATCGCCACGACTATTAACCGAACGTAGAAACGGCACGCCGACGTCGACGACCCGACGGCATTCTCGAATATTACGATCGACCTCTCTTCGTCGCCGACGCACGTACGGTACGACGTCGATGCGACGCGAGACGCATTCCTAGAGAGCTAATAGCTTTAAACCAAATTCGGACTCAATTAAAGTGGTTTCAATGGAACAATTTACTCTGGTACTCGAGACAAACGCAAAATACTAAAAAGACCGAGTATACCCAAATGCACCTCGGCCCATCTCCTACAAAACGTCGTTTTTGGTGGCGTCGCGTTAAAACGGACGCTCGTAAATCGACGCGGCTAAAATCGTGAGACGCGAAATGGCCCGTTTACTCGTGATCGGATTCCTGGCGGTTGATGCCAAGGTCTAGAGCTTATTTATTTATCTGTCCTTAACAGTGACTTTCAGTTTTTCTTTTATGAAATATCACTAAACTGACTTGGAATAGAATTAACATTGCTGGAATTCTTATAAAAATGTGATTACTTTCAATAGAAACATGCTATAGCTCACATACAAATTTTACTTGTAACTAATTTTATTACAAAGGGCTACAAATTTTTATGTCTTGTGCTAAATATACAACGTTTATGTTAAAATTATTAGCCGTCTTATAACGATTTTAGCAATGCAAATAAAATTCTCCTAACTTTGGTCTGTGACATTATTTAAGATAAAGCCCGGCGACACCGACGGTCGGCGCCCGGGTCTGTGGCGCGTTTTTTCCCGGCCGGGAAATGACCCGGGTCGATATAATTGACGTTGTTGGGATTCTTGGAACGTACCGATTAATATGTATATAAACGTGCTATAATTTCCACTAGACATAACAATTTTAGTACAAGAAAACTCCAGCTTTGCACTAAGGTCAATTATTTCTTTTAGTATGGTGTGTGCATGTAAATGGATGAAAATAAATGAAGAAATTCATGTAAATCTACCCAAAAATACAGTTGAAACACTTTATATTATAAAATGTACTACAGTACTGTACACTAATGTACAACAATTTTTATCTCTTGAGCAAAATATATGACGTTTACATTCAAATGATTGGCTGTCTTGCAAGGATTCCAGCAATGCAAATTATAATCTCCTAACTTTAGTCTGAAATATTATGTAAGATAAAAACTGTAAGCCTAAAACCCTGGCTGAACAGATGGGGGAGAGGAAGGAGAGAGTTAAGACGATACGTTTGACAGTTTGAGCCGAAGGTCTCTCTGTGTTTATTTAACGGTCCTACTAAGCTTCTCTCATTTTAAAATGCCAGTGAAATGACCTGGTACAATATAATTAACATTGCTGGGATTCTTGTAACATACTGATTAATTTGAATATAGACATGCTGTAATTTGCAAAACAATTTTGGTACCGTAATCAAATTAGTACGAGAACGCTCCGGCTTTGCACCGAGGTCGTTTATTTCTTTTACGTTTCTTTTATTATGGTGTGTGCATGTAAATGGATGAAAATAAATTAAGAAATTGATATAAATCTACCCAAAAATACAGTTGAAAAACTTTATATTATAAAATGTACTACAATTTTTATATCTTCAACAAAATATATATATAATGTTAATATTCAAATTATTGGCTGTCTTGCAAGGATTCCAGCTATGCAAATTGTAATCCCCTAACTTTAGTCTGAGATATTATATAAAATAAACACCTTAAAGCATAAAGTTATCACCAATGTTTTGTCTGGGAACACAAGGAGGGAGGTAGCCAGCGAGCATGGGAAGAAGGGGGAGAGGGGAAGTGAGGTGACGGAGTGTCTTTATTTATTTGAGATAAGATTTGACAGTTGGCGCTGAAGGCCTGCCCGAGTGTTTATTTATCATTACTTGAGAGTGACTAAGCTCTTCTCATAATTTGCCACCCAAACGACCTGGGTGAATATAACTTACATTGCTGGGATTCTTGTAAGATGGTATTTGAATATCTGTATAAACAATCTATATTTGCCATAGACATAACAATTTAAGTACCGTGATCGTTTAGTACACGTACGGTACGGGTTTGCACTTAGGTCCGTTGTTAACCGAGGGACCGCCGTATTGCAGTGTACTTATACTGTACAATATTGACTAAATTCACTAGATAACGTACATAACTAACGGTTGGTAAAACTTGTCGAGTCTCTCGGCACGAATGGCACGTGTTAGCGCTTGCGTCTCCCGTCGCGGAAGTCCGTTTTCTCTCGCTTCGGGATGCCCGAGTCCATTTTCTCTTAATCTTAGAGTGCAGTGCACCGGAGACTTCGTTATTCCTGGGTAATGACACAGAATTTGAAATTGCAACCCCAATTGCAACTGGGGTTGCAATTGTCGAGGCAACTAGGTATGTCCGATTACAGCAAATGTGTTATTGTCAATTTGTAGGTGAAAGATTTTATCCTCAATAGATGTAGGTTAACATTACACCTGTCTCCGTCAGGGGGTCCTGGAGTGGCGGTCCAGCAGGCGTCACGGAAGTGTTTTTTCGAGGGGGAGGGGGCACAGACGTATATGCTATTGGACGTTAACCGGCGCACGACCGTATATTTTTTTGAAAGATGCAAATCCTCCGAGGATTCGCATCGCACGTCACGCGAATTCGGATTGCGTGTCGTAAATGGACGCCGACGCCGTGCCGGTCATTACTGGTGTAATGATTGATTGTCAGACCAAAGCTTACAGCCCAGAATTATGTCACATATAACAGCAAGCACACTACAGACCTCGTGGTACCACCACATTCCGGGTTGACACGCCTCACGTCGACCCTAGGGACTTGACCTCGCCGCTAATGACGTGATTTAGCCGGGTGCCCTACAACCTCGCCTAACCAAGACACCTGGGCAGGACCACACCTGCACACAGCTATCCAGATCTAACCAGTTTAGTGATAATCGGTTAGAGGCCAAGAGCAGGTTGGGCCGACCCCATATAAAGGCCCTACAGTCCCGTCCACCATCATTCTCGTCATACTGATTCTCATTCTGGTTGCTGTCATCTCTCTCCCGTTCGGGTCGTCACTCGGTTCGCTGAGCAGAGTCACGCACGTCCCCTCCCCGGGTCGGGAGGGGGACTTCCCGACCAGACCACGGCATCGCCAGCTAAGCGGGTTCTCCCGTAGGAGGCAGCCCAGTCAGCACTCGCTGGGCCTACGTCAGGGTACACGTGAGTCTTGTCAGAACGTCCTAGGGTGAGTTACCTACTGTGGGAAGTGTATTCATTCGTGTGTGTCCGAGAGTCGGTGTCGAGTAACGTAAAACATAATGTGTTAGTACCCCGATATAATCGTAATATTAATGTGTCCATGTCATTGACTGAATTAAAGTATCGAAGAGGTGTTTAACAAGTTGTCCCTTTAAGAAGTGATATATGTGTATTGACACACGAGATAAGATCAGTGTATTGACGCTGAGTAAATAACATCCCGGCCACGCTACCAAGTTTCCTATCTTTACATCCCTACTCTCTATTCTTCCTACTTATATGTAATTCTCTTCTCTGTGAGCATCTCATTACACTGGGATCTTACGTCAAATGAACCGAGGAATTATCGGAAAGACGCGACGGGGCGAGAGGTGCTATTATTAGCCTTCGCGACGAGGGTATGCGCAACGCTCGAATAACTCGGCAGAATGGGGCGAGCGAACCCTCGGGCATCGCCGCGGGTTACCCGCCACGAAACGACCGGCGACGAGCCGATTTCAAATCTTATTTTGGCAGATTCCATTTACACCGATATACTGTATATTGCTGTAGCTGTTCACTCTAATATCAACTACTATTTGCTTAGTCACTCCTCATAAATCGTACGTGTCGTCGACGACCGTATTCTGCAACTCGGTACGAATGAAACGGTCACTACGACACGGTGGTGAAATGTCCGCCTCGAGGTCCGTCTCGGTTGTGATCCGAAACTCTTCCATTTAAAGTATATATCCATGCTATTGTAATCCTCAGTCAGGGGCTTCTTTACATATGCCTTGCTTCTACCCAGCACAATACATACATTAATAGAGCTTAATGGATTTCTTGTTATAGTAAAGCATATACTGTACGGTTGTATGTCACACGAGGATGACTCCCTCTCTCGCTACCCGCTGTCTATGGCTGTTGCTCGTATAGTGACCGGACGTACCTGTACCATTTTATGCTGATGCACTGGAGATCACATCAAAGTATTTCACCCAGCGTTTCAAATTTTACCGCTAGAAAATCCATCGATACTTTTTGGAGACTACATAATTGGGGGGGAATTTTTTTCATTGAAGAAAAGTATCTTGGCTTTTATAATGTGAGTCTATAGGTATACTGATTCGATTTACCATAGGTTTTTATAAGACACCGTACTCTTATAAACTGGGGAATACCTGTACAACTTTCCTAACATTCAAAGTACCACAACAATATTAAATACAATACCACAGACTACTTGAGGTCCAGTTAGCTTCAGGTCCAGTTAGCTTCAGGTCCAGTTAACTTTATATCCAGCCAACTTCATTCTAGTTCACATCAGGTCCACTTTAGGCAGTGATGGAGAAAGTACCTGAAAATATTACTTAAGATAAAGTACTGCACTGTTGATATGCAAACATTCAATATAAGTACTAGGTACTGTAGTCTTCTTCAAAACTATGCAAATAAAAGTTTCATGAACTGAATTGAAACATACAAGCAGAAAAAGGTATAAAAAGTTGTACTACAGCATTTGTAAAGAATCACAATTAATAAACAATGACATTATGTTTTGAAAACGAAGCTTAAAGTTATTAATATACTGTACTGTACTTAAAAAAACACGAAATAAACACACATTCAAAATTGGGTATGGGATGGAAAACGTGAATCTTGGCCGCAGTTTTGAGAGGTCCCGTACCGCCGACGCCAATGGGAAGTGACTTTAGACACAAACATTTACATAAATGTCCACTTTTATATGATTACTGTACAAGTGCACTTAAATACA